CCGGTGGCCTCTCTCCCGGTGGAATGTGCAACGATACCGCGGATTGTAGCCCTTCTGTCCATCGCCCAACTTAGCAGGAAACCGGACATACTCCTCGTCTCGGATTTCACTAAGTATGCGATAAATTGGAATCTTGAAGACCGTGGTGATGCCAATCCTTGCCTTCAATCTACTGTTTGCATCCGCTACGTCATCTCGGGGGTAGTCATCCTGGTCATTCCGACGTCCTCTACCTCGGTTTTTGCGATTCGAGCCACGATCTGATTCCTCTGCTCGGTCGCTTGAGCGACTGGACTCTTGCCCAACTGCGTACACTTTGCCTGTTGTCTTCTTGTCCGTTGCTACCGGAGTTGCCTTCACGGTAGATGCTGACGCGTCATCCTCTACTCGGATGTGCTCATTGATCCGCTGCATGAGCTGGCCCATGGAGGTCGGTTGGTGCATGGTAAGCGAGTCCCGCAGTCTATGACCGACCGGGAGACCACGCTTATATTGCGTGATTGCGAGGTTGACCGGGCAATCCAAGATCTCGTTGAAGGTTTCCCAATACCTTGAGTTGTATGCCTTCAGTGTGTCGCTCGGCTCCATCTTGACACTTAGTAAGTGATCGACCTCCTTTGGTGTTTTTGTGTTGGTTTTGAAGCGTGTAACAAACGCCTCGGCCAACTGATGCCACCTTTGTATGCTCCCTTCCGGCAACCTCTCGAACCACTTTAAGCCCAGCTCACCTAAACTTGACGGGAAGATTAGGCACATAAGTCCGTCATTTCGCCGATGTCCGGCCATAACCTGTCGGAAGTGGCTCACATGCATGCAAGGATCAGTTTTTCCGTCGTAGAGTGTGAACTTAGGCTGGTGGAAGCCTGCCGGAAGCGGTGTTGTTTCTATTTCCAGGGAAAAAGGGGTGGCACTCAGCCTGGCCAAGTCCGTATCTTCAAAGAGTGGCACTGCTTGGCGGGGTGGAGGCATTCCGACCTCCTCGCTGGCGTGAACCCCGTAGGATAGCCGCTGGAACGCCGGTATTCTCTGAGCTTCGCGCCGGCGAGCCCGCTCCTCTAAGACCGCCCGCAAATCCTCTAAATGAGCGAAGTAAGAGTACCTCGACGTCGTCACCGGACGTGAGGGTTTGTAGGTGCTGTCTTGCGCGCTAGACTTTTCTGCGTGCGCGTCGGAATCACCAACCTGATAACTCCTGGTAATAGATATGGACTAAGTGCGTTGCTGACTCTGACCGCCAGAACGGCGGGATGGGGTGCGCTCACTGTGGTCACCCACTCCAGCTACACCTTTACCTTTGACATGCCGCTTCAGATCCTCCATCTCCGCCGCCATTCGCCGGATGACAGCGTCTTGGTCCCTCAACTTATTTTCCAGACGTCTGGCGTGTGAATCTCTCCTCCGCCGGTGACCCTTTGGACTCCGTGAATGACCATGACTTCTTCCGCGCTTATCCCGCGCGTCTCCTGACTGTCCTCCGGTGGGCGTCCCCAAGTCCGCCATTGGATGGATGGTGGGAGGGCCTTCTCTCCTTCGGGTGAACTCCGAGGTGGTTCCGTCTATGGCAAACAACGGAAACTCGTCGTTGTTCGCCATGGACGGCGATCAGATGAACTTGGAAGACAAGGTTTTGTCTGTCAAGCTTCCCACAGACGGCGCCAATTGTACGGGGAGCAAATATTCAGGCAAGCCCGTACTCCTTTCTTCCGAGCTCCGTTTCTGTCTGATCACCTGCGAGCACAATGTGGGTGAGCTACCCGGCGGTGTGTGGCCGGAAAAACCCTCCGACGATCAAGTTAGCACACACCTTAGGATAGAGAGAGAGAGAGGGAGGAGTGTTTGAATGTAAGAATTTCCTTACAAAGTGTTCGTCTGTCTGCGTATGGAGGGCGCAGACATGCTTACATACCCTCTGCGCCCCATATCCACTCCCAGTCATCTCCTGACACGTGGCTCTGCTATCCCATCTGTTAGCATAAACCTTGCTGAACATCACCTAATCTCAACTGCCTGTCTTCTCAGCCCGAGCTCGGCAGCCGAGCTTCTCTATCCACGGCCGTGCTATGCTTCATACCCAAGCACTTCACTGGCTTAGCCCAAGGAGGACCGGGCTAGGCGGTATCTCGGCAAAGCCTAGCCCGGGGCACCTCCTGTGGTCGGCCTTCCTGCCGATCAAATGATTACCTCGGCTGACCACGCCTTTCCGGGCACCGGTCACTCAGCTTGACTGGCTCTACCATCGCCTGATCAAGCAGCTCGGTCCAACCGAGCACTGCCTTGCCAAGCAGCTTCTTTCCAAACTGGGCCACACATACTTGGCCCAACTCCTGCCCGGTCCAACTCCTGGCAGCCCAACTCCAGGCGGATCGCCGGTCATCTCGGCCCGATGCACCATTAGGCTCTCAACCTGCTTGGCCTTTACCTCGGCCCAATTCCAGATCATAAATCTCCCTCTCAATAACAACAATGGCTAACCACGCCTTTTTCTGGTACCCCGCACTCCACCTCCCTTAGTTCGATCATAATTAATAGTACATTCCAACCTACGTAATTCCCTGGCACTCTTGACATTATGGCTAGCAGACTCCATCCCTTGCTGAAGAGGAGCATCACCTCTCCATGATTCCTCTATTGCCAAAAATAGTCTCAGTGCTACCTCTTTATGGCCCTCAAAGGGGACCCCCAATAATTGGCTTACCTCATTAATTCGAGACAAAACCCAAGCAAAAACCTCATTTGGCAACGGTATATGATCTTCTGACCTAACAATATCTCTCCCAAGATCAAGCTCATAGTTCGCACCATTCTCCACAGCCACCTCATTGGAACCTGCCTCAGGCCTGACCACCATGGCCAACCCATCTGTCATATCAGCCCATCGACTTGCTTCACCTTCATACTACTGCGGTCGCAATTCCGAAAGGCCAGCTATACTAGGCCGTTGCTCCGTCGCCTCATCAATGTACTGCTCCACCCCCTCTAAATCTGAAGGAGCATCGTCAACGACACCAGATGACGGCTGTGGACCAGTTGGCAACCTCCCGGTATTGCCCATCGAGTCGCGCAACACCGGCAAAGACCCGTCATCTAGTCTAGGGCCAAACCCACCTTTCAGAGTGGAGAAGACCCGACTGATAACTGGATTTGCTTGGGCTTCCACTGATTGAACCCCTCTATCCCTCCTTGGGCTCAAAATGACAGCTTGAGATGGCCCACTTCAATGAACCCCTTGTTGTTTGGCCCACTTCTATTTGGGCATTCCCACATTTCTCTTAGCTTGGGCCTTAGCAAAGCCCAAACATCCCCCCTATTTTCCCCTATTAAAATCCTGACCCAGGCCCATATGGGTTAGACCAAACAAATTACGCCGTCCACCCATATTCCCATTCGCCGCCCCAAATCTTTGCAGATAATCGTTGACCCCCAATTTCCGCCATTTCCTTCAATCTGATTGCAGCACTTCTCGCCCGTCCTTATTTGTTCCACCTCCTCCACCGCCTACCATCTCCGGCGCAGCTGGTTCCACCAATGGTCCCTCCTCCACCCATACAGGTAAAGAAAACTGCCACAAACCCCATCGGACGACCACGCGTGTCAGTGTGCCGTGAGAACTTATGATTCGTAATCGAACATAGCCCAAATCCACTGATGACTCATCCGCTTCCACATAACCACCACACCGATCACCAATGACACGGTAAACATCTTCCCTGCGAAGGTGGATGGGCACCCCCATCACCCAAATCCAAACACTCTTCGCCGTCAAGGTTGTAGCTTTCGAGGTGCAGAGTGTTAGAGGTGACCACCATTCCAACACTAGATCCCTCCCATCAGTAATCCACCGTCGGCGCAGCAACACCTCTGCCTCACGTCGGTTTGGCAAAACAAATAGGAACGCCTGGCCTCCTAACAGACGCACCTCCACCTTCCCCAATGTCTTCCACCATCGATTTACCCAATCGGACACAGCGGCAAAACTCATCCCCTTGCCACCCATCTCCCCCACTCCACCAACAAGCAACCTGTCCAACAGACGGAACCATTCCACCTCTGTTGCACCCCGTACTTCCTTAACCCCTTCAGTCACTCCCCACATAGCTGATTGCAATGGACCAAGTCTGGACCCTTCCTTACCCTGCATTGGACCACCATTATGCAGCCCAAAACCTTCAAGGACCAGGGCCACTCCTTCCCACCTATCCCCAAAATCCGACATAAGAATGAAGATTTGCTCTCGCCTCTTCCCTGCCGTCACCACTATTTGAAAAGACGAACCACCACTTTCCTTGCCACGAACCCATACAGCCACAGTCCGACTACCCCTGGTGAGACGACCCAAAAACTGCAAGTTACCTGGGTCCTGTGAGGCCAACCGCATTCGCGCCACCATCCAACGTACATCATGACCATACACCACGACAGCCCGACGAAGCCCAAGTCCCCTCTCCACAATCGACACACCAAAGCGTCCAGGCGACTCCACCAAAACCTTCTCAAACTCAAAAGATCAACCGCCAAGGAACAAAATCCGCCGTCGTGGGCCACGTTTGTTCAATGCCGGAAACATCAAGACTCATATTCCTCATAACTAAGTCAACTATGGATATTCACCCTGGTATCCACTTCTTTATCACAGAGAGAGGACTATAATTTTTGTTCAATAATAACTTAGAAATGGTTGATGAAACATCATTTGCAACTAACACACATTAAAATATGATCTGAAAATGAATGAAAAGATAACCTTAAATATTGGGGCAAAATGAGGAACTTTTCAAGCCTAATTCCAAAATGCTAAAATTCATCAAAATGTGTATGAAAATCAAATATGAAAAATGTAGATACATCAGGCACAACTTATTAGAAACTACAGAAAACAGTACAAAATTATAAAATGTATCACTATGCAATCAAAATTTAGGTAATAAATTGAGTTTCATAACAGAAATCCAAGTCCATGGAAATAAAATATGTCATAGGAAACACAAATGCAGAGGACTTACAAAATGAGGTAATGATCCAAGGAGTTTCCTTTTTTACCCTTTTCTTCCTCTGAGGATAGGCGGTGACAAACTTGTCTTAATTCTTTAACATCTCCACCACTTGGTTTGTCTGGTGAGTCATACTGTTGACCCCTATCGTGTGATTGCTTTCAAGAAGAGAGATTAGTCTATGAAGGTCACTGGCTGCTTGTTCCTACAAAATGGAGTCTTGAGGGTCATGGAGGAGATGGAGTTTTGAGGAGAGCTACTCCCGGATTGGATACATAGCATTCATTCATCACATTTGAAATCTCACTACCTTTTGATCAAACAGCTGAGGGTTAATGTAGAATAACCACTTCCATTTCTTGGGGGATACACTATAGATGCTTGGGCCAGGTGGCTATCATAGGACATTTGCACTTTTAAGAGCTAACCTAACATTCCACTAACCAATTGTGGAGAATCAGCCGGCTGCTCCTAACAATCAGGAGGTTCCTGTAGCTATATATATATATAAATACAACGCTCAATTAGTACACATTAATGTGTGTTTGGGAGGGATCATATTGAGTACACACCTAACCTTTGGCGTAGTGCACAAAGTGGTGGTCGCAAGAATTGAACCCATAACCTCGAGGTTATTAGGCCAAGTCTTAACCACTGAACCAATGGTCATCTGTAGCTATATAAAGCCATTAAAAAATGGAAAAAAGGATACCTAACTCAAATAAAATATTTAGCAAGCCATCCATGTCAAAATTTAGCGTAGTTTAGTTCAAGGCATCCATGACAAACAATAGCCGTGTCGAATTTAGTTGTAGTTTTGGCTAAAGTAAGATTTGGTGTAAAGTACAGAGGTGCAAAATGAAATTTTCCCTGACCCAATATTTTGTTTTTCCCTCGGAATCTCTTAAACTAATGAATTTCATATATCCAAAATTATATCAATTAAAAAATAAATTTTCTCAGAGTTGTGTTTAGAAGCTTTTTACCTTGTCAAAGGTTTTATCTCAAATAGTGTTTGCGAGGTATGTAATAATGAAATGGAGCTCCTGAATATACATTGCTTGCTGGATTGTTATTTTGCCTCTTGAGTTTTGGAAATTTTCTAAAGAATAGAGGAGCGGTGTGACTCTGACCCATTAAATGCTTGGATCTCACACCATATGAGAGAGTTATATCTGATTATGTGATTAGATTCTGTGCATATAGAAGACCTTGTGGTTTGGGCTATTTGGAAACACAGAAATGCAGTAAAATTTGGTGGGCGTGATGTGGCAGAATTTGCTGTTAACTACATTTCAAAGCTGGGTCTAATATTAGTTACAACAGGCTAATATGTAAAACATTAGTTAAACTAAGGAGGCAGAGATGGGACAATTCAAAGCCATCAGGACCATTTACTAAAAAACAGTAGATATATAACAACAATAATGAGAAACACAATGTTTAGAACAGTAGTCCACAACAACATTACATAGATAACATACCCAACAAAACAACATTAATAGCAGAATCCTAACTGCAGCTAAGTTCAAGAGCTTCTGATGGAGATAACAACTCCTTCCTCCTCCCCTTTAGATACAAGCCATTCATCGGTTGGTTTTCCATCGAACGCCCGTCACTTCACACTTCACGGTTCTCTTACTGATATGAAATTTCCATTACATGCACTAAGACAATGTCAAGAAGCCCATCAGAAGAAGCAGTTAATGCTAGAAAGAAAAAAATATATATAAGCAATACTTTTGAGTACAAAGAAATTGATTCACCTGGGAGAGCCACAAACTCATAAAATCTTGTACCCTTCAATTTATTGAAGGCTCCTAAGGCATGTAAAGTCCTCCCACCCTGCCAAGTCAAGATTCGGACAATTGCTAATCTCAAGATTCGTCAACTTGGCCAGGTTCTTCATGGTACTTGGCAGAGAGGTCAAATTGGGACAAGCTGCAATAGTCACTGTTTTGAGTTTGACGAGGAGTTGCATTCCTTCAGGCAAAGATTTAAGGTTTCCACATCCTGTAATCCGAAAGGATCGGAGAGAGGTCAAGCATTGGATTTGTCTCTCTGGCAAGCAACTTTGTTGTGTGGTCAAGTACAAATGCCTAAGACTGATTAAGTTCCCTATGTTTTTCGGTAACTTTTGAATTTTCACACAACACCTGAATCTCAAAGTTTGCAAATTGTACAGTTTGCAAACGGCGTTAGGGAGTGTCTCGATATTTGCATTCCCACTGATGTCAAAATATCTCAAATGCTTCAAATTACCAATGGAATGTGGCAACACCTGAAAACATGAGTTACTCAAATCAAGCACATACAGATACTTGAACTTTGAGATGCATCTGTTAACAAAGCCTTTGTCACCAGCTCCCAGTCCTTGAAATGGAAAGAAAACAGTCCTCAGATTCTCTAGTTCGAACAATGACTTTGTGACTTCTTCCGCTGAACAATCAAAATCATGAAATGATACATGCTTAACCTTATCAGAAATCGGCCCAAAACGATAATTTGTTGTAATTAAGCATTCTTCATTTGCCATATATACTGCAAGATCATGGATGATCTCAGGCATTCTACACGTGTTTGATAGATTGCCATGTTGTTCTTCAGTCTTTTCTAAGAAAAATATGGAACATAACTGATTCAAATAATCAGTGCCAGTATCTTCCAACTCACCAGTTAGGCCAGATGATTGAATGAGCCCCTGTGCCATCCACAACTGGATCAATTTATCAATTTCAATTTCATAGTTTTTTGGAAAAATTGAACAATATATGAAGCAGCGTTTCAACTCAGTTGGTTGTGTGTCGTAGCTCGATCTTAACACGACCAAAATGTCATGTTTCTTTTGTGCCAATTCCCATAGTTGTTTCTCTTTTAATTCTAACCATTTACTTTCATTAGTCTCCATAAACAAATTGTTGCCTAAAGTCTTTGCTGCACGAGGATATCCGTGGCACTTTTTCACAATTTCCTTTGCAATTTCTGCGAGCTTCGCATTCGCATGTTCTTCCCCCAATTTTTGACGACAACCTGCCCACTTCCAAAGCAATTCAAGGCAATCCTTATCTGAAAGACTGTCTAAATTATGTGTGGGAACCGTGCCCACAATTGTAGCAACCCATATGTAACGTGTAGTCACTATGATCTTACTTCCCATGATACAACCACATCTCAATAAGTCATACAACTTATGCCATTCTCGATTATCACAATCACATAAATTGTCCAAGACGAGTAAAAATTTCGTATTATGTAATTTTTCTTGAAGGAGATTCTTTAACTGATTTGAATTGAGGTCAGCACAAGGGGGGGAATCAGTTATGCACTGAACAATTTTTTGCATCACATCTTTAACATCAATATATTGTGCTACCTTCACCCAAATCCTCAACTGAAAATGCTTGGCGACCATTTCATGATTGTACAGCAATTTGACGAGAGCTGTCTTACCAATACCCGCAATGCCAACAATGGGGAGGACAAACATGTTCTCATCATTGTCAACACTTGGGGCCATTACAAGTTGTAACAATGTAACTCTATCATTGACCCTTCCATGTTCTACAACAAGCATTTTCCGCTTAGCGTTCGAGATCGCAAGACCACAGAGTTCCAGACTCTGACACAAGGCAGCAGAACAGTGGCAGAGTACGACCGTGCCTTCATCGAATTGGCAAGATACGCGCCTCATATGGTCAGTGATGAGTATAAGAAAGCCAGGAAGTTTGAAAGTGGACTACGTGGACCAATCCAGGACCGGGTCAACATGCTCAATATGCCGACTTACGCCGAGGTGTTAGACAAGGCCATCTTGGCGGAAGCTAACTTAAACTGATATCAAAGTTTAGGAGAGAGTCAGAGGAAGAGACAGAACTATGAAGGTCGTCGGATGCCGTTTAATGCCAAGAAGAAGGCGAATGTGGGTAGTTCCAATAACTCAGATCGGGATAGAAATGCTAAGCCGACGTGTGCGAGTTGTGGGAAGCCGCATCTAGGGGTTTGTCGCTGGGCGACAGGAGCCTGCTTTGAGTGTGGCGAGATAGGCCACCGCATGAAGGACTGCCCAACGGCAAGAGCTGGTGATGGTAAGAAAAATGGGAGCACCTCGGGCTCTGCACAAGCAAGCAATGCCGGAAGAACACAGATGAGACAGGGCAGAGTTTTTGCTATAGTGCCAGGAGACACCCAGAATGCTAAAACAGTAGTGTCAGGTACACTCTCAATTTGCTCTCAAGTTGCATACGTCTTGATTGATTCGGGCTCTACACATTCATTTGTATCTGTTAAATTTGCCGAGAAGTTGAACAGACCATTAGAACCCCTTGATTATATGCTATCTGTATCTACTCCATCTGGGGGAACTATAATTATTGCATCCATATATAGGGCGTGTGTTGTGGTGATTGAGGGTGTAGAATTATTAGTTGATTTGATGCCATTAAGCATGACTCACTTCGATGTCATATTAGGAATGGATTGGTTAGTAGCGAATCATGCATCATTTAATTGTGTTACTAAGAGCGTACATTGAAGCCCAAACAAAACCGAGGTCTTTTCCAGGGTAAGGGAGTTAGTACCCCACCCTACTTAATCTCATCCATTGAAAGCTATCAAGTTAATCCAAAAGGGTGTCAAGGTTATTTGTGCAGTATACTAAGTGATTTGAATGAAGTGTTTGAGTTAGCCGACATACCATGTTGTTAAGAAATTTCCTGACGTCTTTCCCAAATGAGTTGCCTGGCCACTTAGTCGATAGAGGAGAATAGATTTACTGTGGACCTCGTGTCGGGAACGCAACCTATCTCCAAAAACACCCTATAGGATGGCCCCTGCTGAACTTAGAGAACTGAAACTACAGTTACAAGAATTGTTGGATAAGGGATTCATTAGGCCAAGCACTTCACCGTGGGGAGCACCCGTTTATTGTTAAGAAAAAGGATGGCACACTTCGCCTTTGCATTAATTACAGAGAACTTAATAAGGTAACCATCAAGAACAAGTACCCATTGCCTAGGATTGACGATTTGCTTGATCAATTACAAGGAGCATGAGTCTTTTCCAAGATTGACCTTAGGTCGGGCTACCACCAGTTGAAGGTTAAAGCCGAGGACATTGAGAAGACTGCTTTTCAGACAAGGTATGGCCACTATGAATTTTTGGTAATGCCCTTCGGAGTGACCAATGCTCTTGCAGCGTTCATGGACTTGATGAACAGAGTCTTTAAGCCGTATCTATATGAGTTCGTAGTTGTTTTTATTGACGACATATTGATCTATTCCAAGAGTACAATTGAGCACGAAATCATCTGAGACTTGCCTTGCAAATTTTGAGAGACAAGAAGCTGTATGCCAAGTTGAGTAAGTGCGAGTTTTGGCTTTCCAGCATCTCATTTTTAGGGCATGTGATTAATGAAGAGGGTATATCAGTTGATCCGAGTAAGATTGAAGCTATTGTGAATTGGCCGACGCCGACCAACGTGTCCGAGGTTTGTAGTTTTCTAGGCTTGGCAGGTTATTACAGAAAGTTTGTGACGGACTTCTCAAGGATAGCAGTACCATTGACACAACTAACTAAGAAAGGAACAGCATATGAATGGACCGATGATAGAGAATCAGCCTTCCAAGAGTTGAAGACGAGGTTAGTTACGGCACCAGTTCTTGTACTCCCGTCAGGTAATGAGGAATTTCAGATTTTCAGTGATGCTTCACATAAGGGTTTGGGTTGTGTATTGATGCAAGGGGGCAGAGTCATAGCATATGCATCTCATCAGTTGAAACTTCATGAAAAGAACTATCTTACCCATGATCTTGAGCTAGCAGCCGTGGTGTTTGCTTTGAAGATTTGGCGCCACTACTTGTATGGAGCCTCTTGCCAAGTTTTTACGGATCACAAGAGTTTGAAGTACCTGTTCACCCAAAAGGAACTAAACCTGAGGCAGAGAAGATGGCTTGAATTATTGAAAGATTACGACATGCAGATTCAGTATCATCCAGGTAAAGCAAACTCGGTAGCTGACGCATTGAGTAGGAAGTCAGTGGGAAGATTGGCATGCCTAGCCATGATTTCAGTAGAGCCAACTACTATTGGGGAAGTAAAGGCAAGGCAAATGGAGGATGGATTCCTGAAGAAGGTAGCCGACGAGATTACCACTAGGCCGAGGTTGGGTTACACCCTTGAGAATGGAGTACTTAAGCTTGAAGGAAGGTTGTGCGTGGCCGACGTCCCAGAATTGAAAAGGAGGATTTTGCAAGACTCTCATGGATCTAGATTTGCAGTTCATCCAGGGAACACCAAGATGTATCAAGATGTGAAACAGACCTTTTGGTGGCCGAATATGAAAAGAAAGATAGCCAAGTTCGTGTCTTAGTGTTTGTATTGTCAACAAGTGAAAGCGGAACATCAGAGGCCAGCAGGACTTCTCCAACCCTTGCCGATTCCTGAGTGGAAATGGGAAGACATCTCCATGGACTTTGTGATTGGGCTGCCGAAGACACAGAAAGGAATGGATTCGATTTGGGTTATAATCGACAGGTTAACTAAGTCAGCGCATTTCTTGCCGGTTAGGACTTTGTTCAGTGCTGATCGGCTTGCTATGTTGTATATGAATGAGATCGTTAGACTTCATGGTGTGCCGATGTCCATTGTGTTAGACCGAGATCCAAAATTTGTTTCTAGATTTTGGCAGAGTTTACATAAGGCTTTGGGGACCGAATTGAGGTTTAGTACAGCTTTTCATCCGCAGACCGATGGCCAAACAGAGACAACAATTCAAACGCTTGAAGATATGCTTAGACTGTGTGTATTGGACTTTAAGGGAAGTTGGGAAGTGCATTTGCCATTAGTAGAGTTCGCTTACAACAACAGCTACCAAGTTAGCATTGGCATGGCGCCGTATGAAGCCTTGTATGGAAGAAAGTGCAGATCGCCGATATGTTGGACCGAAGTAGGAGATAATGCTTTGATCGGCCCCGATTTAGTTCAAAGGACAACCGAAAAGATTAAGCTTATCCAGCAGAGAATCAGAACCGCTCAGAGCCGACAAAGGAGCTACGCCGACCAGAGAAGAAAGGAGTGAGTTCGAAGTAGGGGATCATGTGTTCCTGAAAACCTCGCCGATGAAAGGAGTTTCAAGATTTGGGAAGAAGGGTAAATTGGCACCCCGCTACATTGGACCGTTTGAAATCCTTGAGAAAGTTAACCCGGTTGCCTACGGACTTGCTTTACCACCGAGATTAAGTCAAGTTCATAATGTGTTTCATATCTCGATGTTGAGGAAGTATATACGGGATCCACTACACGTGATCGATCATTTCGGGATTGTGGTTGATGAAGGCCTAAGCTATGAAGAAGAGCCAATACGCATCATCGATAGACAAGTGAGGCGATTGAGAAATAAGGTAATACCGATGGTGAAGATTGAATGGAAAGAGCATTACGGCAAGGATGCTACGTGGGAAATGGAAGAGGAAATGAAAGTCCGATACCCGGAGTTATTCTCGAACCAAGGTAACTCAAGTTTGGGGACCAAACTTCTTTAAGGGGGGTAGGATGTAATAACCCTCACGGTATCCTAACCATACTCATATGCATTCATGTGATTCTGTCTTGTAAGCTGCGTTTCAAATCTTGTCCTTGTTCGTTTAAGTGTTTCAGCATGTTTTGTACCTTGCTTGGTGTGAGTTTAGCCGAAGTCGTCTTCCGTCTAGGATTACCTTGGAACCACTTTGTTTGACCTCCACCTTCGCCCTGACATATTGGCCGAGATGTCATTATCTAGGCCGAGGTGTCCATCACCAAGGCCGAGGTATGAATTATCTAGGCCGAGATGTTACCTTTGCACCTAAGTGATCTTGTCCCGGAGTGGTATGACCTAGACCGAGGTGTGGCACATCTAGGCCAAGGTGTGGCACAGCTTAGTCAAGTGTTGTCCTTCCTAGCCGAGGTCATTATTCCCTACTTGCCGATGTCTTGTTCTTAGCTGATATCCTTACTCGCCAGAGTGTCCATGCCGTCTTGCTTGTTGAACACACTTTGTCATAGTTTTGTCTTGTCACTCAGCCACCTTTTTGGGCAGCACCAACCAGCCGCTACCACGTGCCCCTGTAGAGGGTTAAGTCAGCCAGCAGACTTAGAAATGTATCATTTTGCTGTATGTCTTTGTTTGTGAGGAGAGAGGAACTCTAGAAGAAGAAGAAGAAGTTTAGAGTAAGAGAGTGGGTCTTCGAGCTTGATTCCTAGAGATCAAACCGTTAGATTCGCGTATTGAGGTTAGATTCTTGATTTACCCTTGTTGTTCTTATTGATTATCTAGCTGCATTGCATGATCGAACCCGTTCTACATGTCATGCATCAATTTAAAGTTGGTTTTAGAAAGAGAAAATAGTGTTCATGTGTTCTTGAAGGAAAAGTCTTGTTTGATCTGAAAGTTTGCATTAAGATTCATGTTTTGTGTTTGTTCTCACAAGATCCTTGAATATGGGTACCCAGGTCCATGTTTTTGAACTCATAGCATGAAATCTCAGATTTTGTAATAGCAAATCATGATCTTTGC